CTGTAGGTCTTTGTAGATGCCGTATATCATGTTGTTAAAGTTTCATTTTATTTCTAGTTTGCTCAGAGGTTTTGTGGGTTTTTTAAATCACAAATGAGTATAGGATTTTGTTAATTTTTTTTTTTTTTTGAGACGGAGTTTCGCTCTTGTTGCCCAGGCTGGAGTGCAGTGCCCTGATCTCCGCTCACTGCAACCTCTGCCTCCCGGGTTCAAGCAATTCTCTGCCTCAGTCTCCCGAGTAGCTGGAATTACAGGCGCCCACCACCATGCCAGACTAATTTTTTTTTTTTATTTTTTGTAGAGACAGGGTTTCACTATCTTAGCCAGGCTGGTCTTGAACTCCTGACCTTGTGATCCACCCGCCTCAGTCTCCCAAAGTGCTGGGATTACAGGTGTGAGCCACCGCGCCAGGCCTGGATTTTGTTAAATTTTTTCTGCATCTGTTGAGATGATTATATGTATTTCCTTTCTCCCTCTGTTAATATGCTAAATTACATTGGATTTTCAAATATTAAGCCAACCTAGTATTTCTGGGGTTAATCCCATTGTTTAATATATTATCCTTTTTATATACTACCATTTTTTATTTGAGAAGATATTGTAGATTATCTTGTAATGAATGCGAATGTTGATAGTAAGGAGAGATGCGGTAAAAAGCTTATCCATTTACTGTAACATGGAGAGTAAGCGTATTACTTAGAAATACGTAGGCAAATTTCAGAAATACAGTTCAAAGAGTTAAAAGCGATTGATTCTGGAAGTAGGAGTAGAGGGTCAGGTTGTTCTTGTTGCGGTTTTTGCATCAGTTTACTTCTTAAAATCATAGCTATAGGTCAGGCGCAGTGGTTCACGCCTGTTATCCCAGCACTTTGGAAGGCCCAAGTGAGAGGATTGCTTGACGACGAGAGTTGGAGATCAGCCTCGGCAAAAGAGCAACAGCTCACCTCTACAAAAACAAAATTAGCTAGCTTGGTGAAAATTTAAAAAACAAATAAAAATAAAATTACCAGTATGTGCACATTACTTTGGTAGAAGTAAAAATAATGAGAGAGAAAGAGAAAATCCTCCCAGTGACTAGTCATTTGTTTTTATCAGCTGGTTTGTGTTTTGCAAGGTACATGGTGTGCAGACATCTGAAAACGTCTGTTTTCCACTGTTTTGTAACTAACTCGTCCTACCATGATTTATCAATTAGTCTTTATTTCCTCCCATGACTTATGAATATACTTTAAGCATAGTTGTTTATAATGGGATGTTTCTAAACTACCTATCCTTGTCCTGGTACCACGCTGATTTGGCCTATAGTGCAAATGGGTGCACCATGGTGGGCGAGGTCATTCAAGGGAAAAGAGGAGAATGTGCAGTGGTGCCGACGTTTGTAAGAGCAGGCGGCTCGTACGTGCAAATACATGGTTTGGATGAATCTGGGAGTGGATAGGCTCATGGGTGATGAATACTCAAAGCACAAAGTAAGCAACTTTAGTTAGAATGAAACTCTTAAAGCACGCTGCCCTTCGGAAGGAAACACGATATTCCGCAAGCTGATAGCCCTCCGCGACGCATTACGCACAACGGACAGCTGGAGACGCCCAGGCGCTCTCGCTTTGATTTCGGCGCCTGCGCCCGCGCTGGGAGAGATTGGCTGAGGCCGCGGGACTGGGCGGTGAGCGCGTCACTTCCTGTCGCTGCCAGGCGCGTCCTCCCACGCGCTATGACCGACAGTGCAGAGCCACGGGGGCGGCGGCCTGGAGTCGGAGTCGGAGTCGTGGTGACCAGCTGCAAACATCCGCGTTGCATCCTCCTGGGGAAGAGGAAAGGCTCGGTTGGAGCCGGCAGTTTCCAGCTCCCTGGAGGTCATTTGGAGTTCGGGTGAGCAGCCGCGGACGCGAGGAAAGCGCAGCGTTCGGGGAGGGACGAGCTCACATTGTGCTTCCTTCGTGCGCCGTGCGTGAGAACGTCCGCGCTGACGCTGCGTCGTTTCTCGTGCGTTCCCTCGGTTCCTCCCCTCGACCTCTGGGCGACGTAGGCTCCCGCCCAGGATGGGGCGCTGTGCCGGGTCAGGCGAGGTCATTGCTTGGCTAGCTGAGTCCTTCCGGCTGCGCGCCGGCTAGGTGGTGGTTGGGATTTTGTCTGTGAGGTGTGTTTCTCACAGTTTACACACAAAAGGAGGAAAGCAGGTGTGTGTAAACCTCCAGCAGCCCGATGTTGTCAGCTAAGACATTGCACCGTTTCCGTGTGATTGATTGATTGGAGAGACTGTCTCGCTCTGTAGCCCAGGTCGGAGAGCAGTGGCATTATCTCGAGTCACTGCAACCTCCGCTACCCAGGTTCAAGCGATTTTCGTGTCTCAGCCTCATGAGTAGCTGGGATTACAGGCGCCCGCTACCACGCCGTACTAATTTTTGTGTTTTTAGTAGAGACGGGGTTTCGCCTTGTTGGCCAGGCTGGTCTCGAACTCCTGACCTCAGGTGATCCACCCACCTCAGCCTCCCAAAGTGCTGGGATTACAGGCGTGAGCCACCGCGTCCGGCCGGTTTCTATGTGATTTAGACCAACACAGATCAATTTAATACCTACTGACCGCGTAACCAAGCCCATTTGCTTGGCTAGAGTGCAACCAAAAAATAAATAATCATGAATGAGTATTGGATTTTGTCATTTTTTTCCTGCATCTGTTGAGATGATTATATGTAAAATTTTAGTTGCACTCTAACCAAGCAAATGGGCTAATGAAACGCTGTGAGCCTCAGTTTCTTCATCTTTAAAATGGGAGCGTTGGACTAAATCCCCTTGAAGCTTCCTTCTGCCTTGGCACTTCCGCGATTCGATTATAACTATCAAAGGAGTTGGACAGTTAAGGAGACTCAGTTCTATACAAGAGTGAAGACAGCCCGGATAGTTTATCACCTTGAGTATACTATCATAGGTGTGCGCATATGTCCAGACTCATCAAATTGTATATATATTTAACATGTACATTTTTATGTACAAAAGTGTATACGAAACACTTTTGTAAAAAAAATAATGTTTTTCAAGTGTAAAAAAAAAAGCCTGGGATGGTGCTAAAAAGTGGATTCTGAAGTGAGAATAATGCTAATCAAGAACAGATAAACAGCATCTAAAGCATCAGACCCAGCACTTGTTTTTCCTTCAGTATAAATTTTCAAATGTACATCAAAGTGGAGAAAATAGTGAATCCTTTTGTACCCATCACAGAGCATTTTCTTTTTTCATCTTGACTGCCCTTCCCTCCGCCGCCCAAAACACACACACACACCCCTGAATTGGACATTTTTAAGATCACGGAGGAAAATGTTACACACACTGGGTATGAGATGATACTTAAAGAATTATTTTGTTAGGTATGAAAATGTTTGTCGTTATGTTTTTTTAAAAAGTCTATTCAAGGTACATACTGAACTATTTAGGGATGGTATAATAGGATGTCTGAGATTACCTGTAAAATAGTTTTTTTAAAAAAAGCCCCCAAAACACACACACACACACAGACACACACACACACACACACACACAAAATTAACATTTAGCCATCTCAGTGCTAATTTACAGCTGGAGTGCAATGGCACCATCATGGCTCACTGCAGCCTTGACTTCCCACGCTCAAACTATCCTCTTGCCTCAGCCTCTTGAGTAGTTGGGACCACAGACCATAGGCACACACCACCATGCCTGGCTATTATTATTATTTTTTTTTTTTTGAGAGATGAGGTCGCACTATGTTGGCCTCGGCTGGTCTCAAACTCCTGAACTCAAGCTGTCCTCTTGCCTCGGCCTCCCAAAAGATTACAGACATGAGCCACATGCCGGCTGATTTGTTGTTTTAAAGCAGGAACCAATTACAGTTCTTTTTGCTTTACACTAGAAATTTCTAGCCAAGAATTTCATGGCGAAATATATATACACACACGTATATACATTTATATATAAAATATAATTAATTTTTTTTTCTGTTTTCCAGTGAGACCTGGGAAGAATGTGCTCAAAGGGAAACCTGGGAAGAAGCAGCTCTTCACCTGAAAAATGTTCGCTTTGCCTCAGTTGTGAATTCTTTCATTGAGAAGGAGAAATACCATTATGTTACTATATTAATGAAAGGAGACGTGGATGTGACTCATGATTCAGAACCAAAGAATGTAGAACCTGAAAAAAATGAAAGTAAGAGAATTATATATAATCCTGCATTTTTGAGGACAGCATGTGGTCTGGAGGAATATTACAGTGTGTTGCCATATGAAGAGAATGCCATTGTCTGAATGCTTGTGTTCCCCCAGAATTCTGTGTAGAAATCCTAACTCCCATGACAATGGTTTTAGGAGGTGGGGCCCTTGGGAGGTGATTAGATCATAAGATAATGAATGGAATTCGTGCCCTTGTAAAAGAGACCCCTGACTCCTTCCATGATGTAAAGATACAGAGAGAAGATGGTTGTCTCTGAAACCTGGAAGTGGGCCCTCCCCAGACATGGAATCTGCCAGTGTCTTGATCTTGGACTTCCCAGTCTCTAGAACTGTTGAGAAATAAATTTCTATTGCTCGTAAGCCATGTAGTTTAAAATATTCTGTTATAGCAGTCTGAATAGCCTAAGATATGTGAATGTAGAGATGTCATATAGAGATACAGATAGGTAAATATATTTGGACCATGAGGAACCAGACTGCCTGTGTTTGTGTGCTGGTTCTTAGAGCTTTGTGACCTTGGGCAAATTATTTCGTGCCTGGGCCTCTTTTCTCATCTGTGATAATAGTAAGTACCTTAGATGGGTTCTTGTAAGGATTTACATATGAAGAACCTCGTGAACATAGTAAGTTTTATTGTTAGTGTTTAATTTTGTTTCAGGCAGTAATTTTAAGGAAAATATTTTATCTGTTTTCCTCAGTTTTCTCACCTTTGCGGGAGAGTTAATACCATCCATTTGCTGTAAATAATTACACTGATAAAACAGTTATTGTTTCAGAGCAGTTGGGTTCTCCTTGGCTGCTGCCCAGAAAAAGCCAGCACCCTGAGACAGTAGGAGTTGTAGCAGAGAAAGAGTTTAATAATCACAGGGCAGCTGCCTGAGGAGGACAGGAGATAATTCTTAAATCCTACCCATAGAGAATTAAGAGGCTAGGGTATTTCAAGGATGGTTTGGCAAGCAAAGGGCTAGGGAATGAGAAATGCTGCTTTGTTGGGTTGGGGATAAGACCATAGGGATGTCAGCTGTCTACTTGTGCTAAGTCAGTTCCTCGATGGGGGCTTCACAGGACCACTTGAGTCGGTTTCTCTGTGTGGCTTACCGATTTGGGTGGTACCAGTTGGTCCATTAGTCGGTTTCTTTGTGTGGCTTACCGATTTGGGTGGTACCAGTTGGTCCATTAGAATGCAAAGGCTGAAAAAGATCTCAAACACTAGTCTTAGGTTTTACAATAGCAATGCCATCTGTAGGGGTAATTGGGAGTTATAAATCTTTTGACCACTGGCTACATGCTTCCTGAGCAGTAAGGCAAGTTATAAAATGATGCCTGGTTAGAGTTTAACTATGCCTTACATCTTAATAGAGTTCTGGCCCTTACCATAATTCTAACCTTGTGACCTTTTATTAGTTTTACAAAAGCAGCTTTGGTCCCTCAACAAGGAGGGGGTTAGTTTTGGGAAGGGACTATTATCATCTTTGTGTGATTATTATCATCCTTTAAAGTTAAACTGTAAACTAAATTCCTCCCATAGTTAGGTTGGCCTGTGTGTAGAAATGAGCAGACAATTTGTGAGGTTAGAAGCAAGTTGGAGTCAGCTTTGTTAGATTTCTGTCACTGTTATAATTTCGCAAAGGTGGTTTCATTATCTGTTACCCTCTATGTTGAATTGAGTGCACTGAAAGTTTATTTACTATGTGCTAAGCATTGTTCTAAGGATTTTCTGTCTACTGTCTCTCCTCAACTTCTCATAAAACAGAAAAGGAACTAAAGAGAAAAATATCAGACTTTTTCAGCATATTCCTTGCCATATGAAACTTTATCCAAGTGGTCTCATGTATTGAGGCTCCCCGCTAAACATTTAATTTCTTGTCTAATAGGGAAGAATCTTTTCATTCAACAGATACTTATTGAGTTGTGTGCCAGACACTGTTCTAGGCACTGAAGAAACAATGTTGCGTAGAACAAAGTCCCTGCCCTCTTGGTACTTTACATTTTAGTGAGGGGGGAAAACGACAGATTACAGATACTTTATGATAGTAGCAATAAGGACTAAAAGGAGCAATAAAGCTGTGTAAGAAAGGGATATATGAGTGCTATATCAGGGTGGTCGGGAAGGGTCTCTGACAAAGGGACGTATATACATATACTGGGCAACATAGTGAGACCCTGTCTCTACAAAACTAAAAATGTTAGCCAGAGTGGTGGCACATGCCTGTAATCCCAGCTACTCGGGAGGCTGAGATGGAAGGATCATGTGAGCCTGGGAGATCAAGGCTGCAGTGAGCTCTGATATCACCACTGCTCTCCAGCCTGAGCAGCAACAGAGTGAGACCCTGTCTCAAAAAGAAGAAAAGAAATGGACTAAACATTTTCTTATTTTTCTTTTTTCTATGGGCAAATAAAGCTGAGACTAGAAGAGACAAATATGATGAAATAGTTAAGTTTTTTTTTTTTTTTTATATTCGGTATCCTTCACAGGAAGCAGATATAGAAAACCTTCAGTTTTAGAGAAGGTGCTATAGAGAAAACACCAAGGTCACTGACTGTCCCACCAACTTTATTTGACCATTCTTACTCACCAAGCCACCTCTGGGTGCTGCCTCATTCTTCAGTCCTCTTTTTGCCCTGTCTGGCCTCTGTAGGGATTTGAGTTGGGGAATCCTGATGCAAGTTATAATTTTGAATCTCGCTTCTCTGAGCTGTGGGCCTGTGTTTCCAGTTGCTTTCTAAATATCTTCCCTTAATGTTCAGAAGGCATCTCAAATTCAACTCAACTTCAAATTATGCTCTTTTTTTTTTTTTTTTAACTGAACTTTGAATCTATAAAGAACAGTTCTTTTGGCTTATACATTTTGGACTCTTCCCTGCCAAACACAGTGTCTAGCTCATAATCAGTATTCAAAATATGTTGAAGGAAGGAAGGACCCAGTGAATGAATATACAAGCCAACCTCTTTCTGTGAAGCTTTCATTTAGTACTAGACTGTCCTACTTTTGAATAACTTCTAGAAGATTACTATTCTACTTTAAGTACTAAATCATGAGTTTTTATAACCATCTAGCTATATGTATTGTTTTATTCCTCTTAGGATATAGTAGCTAGTAGTAGTTTTACATGCATTGTGATTTTTAAAATTCATTTATATAACTTTTTTATTTGTCCACTTTCATTTTGTTAACTCCCTAACATGAACCTTGCTAGTAATCTCAAATAAAGCAGTATGATTTAGAAGGTCCAAGATTACTAGCATCAAATCAGATTTGATCAAAAACATTTATTCCTCTATATCTGTTAGTAAAAATACAGCAGAAATTATGTTCACTTTATTCCCAGTTGCAGCCTGATAACCAGCTATACTGATAACCAGTTGCAGCCTAGCCAAGGTGCAAGGGCTTGGTGGGTCTTTGCTTGTTTTCTAGTATAAAGATACAGTCTCTCTGTCCCGTGCTACTCAAGCCTTGGATCTGGGTAGCCTGCTTCAGTTTACTATTTAATGGCATCTTTCCTCCAACCATCTAATTATAGTTTGGAGGCTCATCCAGACACTTCATTTTCTAGGGGATGGGTTAATCTCTTCATGGACAGCTTTTTGGAGACCCGGTTAACTGAGCATCTTGCACTGCATTGTTGGGTACTCAATCTCTCTCTCTCTCTCTTTCTCTCTCTTCTCTCCTCTCTTCTCTCTCTCTCTCTCTCTCATCATCTCTTCCTATACTTGTTCCAGTTTCATGGATTTTTGGCCCCTGCATTCCCAAAGTGAAAATACATGCCTGTATACCTGTATTTTATGAGCAGAGAGATACTTAGTGCTTACATGTAGTAAAAACAGGTGATCATAAAGAACATGGAGTGTATATCTTAATATAATATGTAGGTGTTTGCCTATCATAAGCATCTGTGCTTCTATGTTATTTACATTTAAATCATGAAAGAAAACACCATTCTCTAGAATCTTTTTCTAGAATTTCATGTGCTTTATAACTGATAGACACTGTTAAATCTTTCTTGTTTGAATGGATTTTAAAAAAATTATCTTCTGTATTTGTTTATCTAAAATATACCAAGGTACAATATTTGATTTTCCTCTGCACAGCTTTCATACTTTTTTAAGAGATGGAGGATATCTTAGAAACTTTGTAATCTACTTTATTTTATAGGTGAAGGAAATGGTTTATTTTAATGTAGTATAACCTATAGTATATAAAGTTATTTGCATTTTTTACAAAAATATTTAAATAAACATTGACTAATACTAAATCTGGGTTTACCCTGGCATAGCCTTTGTAAACTGGGCTTCACATTCAAATAACACAATGTTTTAAATGACCACCATTCTCTTCATAAGATCTTCATTCTACATGCGAATTATATTTGTATAGCCAAGCAAATACAAAGCATTACTATTAGAGTTTATTAGTAGCAAGTTATTTTTAAATTCAATTAATTTTTTCTAAATATAGGTTAGCTTACCCAAATAAATACCCTTTGTTTTCTGTTAGCTAAATAAATTGATTTAGCATTTTTCTTTTCTAGGTTGGGAGTGGGTTCCTTGGGAAGAATTTCCTCCTCTGGACCAGCTTTTCTGGGGTCTGCGTTGTTTAAAAGAACAAGGCTATGATCCATTTAAAGAAGATCTGAACCATCTGGTGGGATACAAAGGAAATCATCTCTAGGTAGCCAAGAAGATTTCTTGATTTTCTTTAAAAACACAGGAATAAGGTCTGGTTAGGGAATGAAAAATGTCTGCATTGCAGAACAACTCCATTTTATCTAAAAAAGATCTTGTGATCGCCAATTTATTTGCAATCTCTTAATGTATCCACCACCCTTTCAGCCAGTACTTGAGAAAATTTTTCTGAAATATGTCATTGAATTGTATTCCAGCCTCAGAATATATGATATATACTGATATTATGGGTAATCTGCTTTCCATATTTACCTATGATATTTACTGTATGGTTTGTCATTACTAGCTTGCATGGAGTAAGATGCAGTGAAATTTGCCTTAGTGTTTCTGTTCAAATAGAGACCTGAATTCAAATATTGTAGTTTAGGTTCAAACACAGTATGCCTGTTGCAAAATTTACCAAATTTGTTGATTACCTCTTTTATTAAAGGCATGTTGGGGAGAGGGTAATAAGTATATTGTGGCAATCTTTGCAACTTACAGGGAATAGGACAGGTCATTAGGGTGTATTTCCCAGGTTTCCAGTTGAGAACCTAAACCAAGAGAAGTGAGACAAATCATCTAATGTCTGTATCCTCCTATTAACAGGCTGTGTGATGTTGAGTTTCTCACTTACTCTCTCTGAGGTCCAGGGTCCTTATATGTAAAATGAAGAGATTCGTCTAGAGCAGTGGTTCTTAAAGTGTGGTCGGGGGGGCCTCAAGAGCCTTTCAAGGGTATTCTAGGTCAAAGCTGTTTTTATAACACTTACCATTTCATCATTTATAGTTTTTCCTTTTTTTTTATTTGAGAAGGAGTCTTGCTCTGTTGCAGTGGCACGATCTCAGCTCATTGCAGCCTCCGCCTCCTGGGTTCAAGCAATTCTCCTACCTCAGCTTCCTGAGTAGCTGGGATTACAGGCATCCACTACCACACCTGGCTAATTTTTGTATTTTTAGTGGAGACGATGCTTCACCATGTTGGCCAGGCTGGTCTGGAACTCTGGAGCTCAAGTGATTTGCCCACCTCAGCCTCCCAAAATGCTTACAGGTGTGAGCCACCACGCCCGGCCATCATTTATCTTTTTCACTCATTTTTTCATGAGTGTGCAGAGGAGTTTTTGAGAGGCTATCTGGTGTGATATTATAATAGGCTGAATGCAAGAGCAGATATGAGAATGCAGCTTTCGTCTGTCATCAGACATTGAAGAAATTTGGAGAAATGTAAAGCAGCAGTACTCTTGTCACTAATGATTTTTGTTGTTGGTTAGAAAAATGGTTATTTTTAGTGGGTTTTAATATGTGAAAAAAATAAAAATAACTGTCAAAAATGTTATTTATGTGTTTATACATAATGGGATTTTGTTACTTGTAAATGGTTAATAAAAATTTGAAGAAATTTCTCAGTTTTCATTTCTATATGATAAATATTTCTAGATAAAACCATACAAAAACAAAATCACTTTGTGGTCTTTGGTA